AATAATAATAAAAAAATTGAAAGTAGTTTCAATGTAGCTAGCTACTTTTTGACAGTAACTTGTAGTGTAGCTAGCTACTTTTTCAAAAGGGTAGCTTGAATGTAGCTTAGCTACTTTAATTTACGAGTAGCTTGTAGCTGGTCAAGCTATAGTTTCAGAGTAGCTTCCCCAACACTGTTGATAGCATTGATAATGTTTTTGACAGATAATATCATGATGTTTTTTTTGTTTTTTTTTGCGTTTGCCTTGCCGAATGGAGCCTGCGCTGTTATCTCTGCCTACTGGAAACTTTTTCAGGCTTCTGATTGGCCAACATGGCTTTACGGTTGAGATTATATCGCCACCTGTTGGTTTGGCATGCTCTTGACCACTGTGAAGCACTCTTCATAGCATGCGTTTGCGTTTTCATGTGGACGGAGATTTTTTTAAAAACGGAAGGAAAAACTCGTTTATAAAAATACCCATGTACGTGTGGACATGGCCTCAGTTTAAGTGCCGGTGATGCAGTGTTGCCAGATATTGCTATGAAAACAAATAAAATCCGAAAAATAAATCAGAATAAATCGAAATTAGTTCAAATCTTTTGCTAAAAAGATAAGATAAATATATTGCTAACTCTATATGGTAAATTCCCACTTTATTAACTTTCTAAAGTGTCAAATTAAGTGGAAAAGACAAGTCCAAAGACGCTTATAATAGGATCTGGCAACACGGAGGCTGCGCCCGCGCCCTCACAACTCAAGCCTCGTTCACCCCGCCAGCGTCTGGCAACGATCATTTTGATACCACGGACGCTAAACATTCTTACAAACTTTCTAAACTTAATTATACATGCAGACAACTCATATGAGGAGTTTTAAACAGCAAATCAGTCATTCAGAAAAAAAAATATTTTTGAACATGAAAAATTTACAAAAACATTATTTGTTCCTAGTGTGAGGCATTCTGGTTTTTAACAATCATTGGTGTGTGTTTTTTCTAAAAGCATCATAGTTTCATGATTCTGTGTTTTCCGAAACCATTGTTCCAATGGACATTTGCAAACAGCTTTGCAGAGAATTATAGTTGATACTGCAGCTCTCGACCTGTGATTAGAAGTATAGTTAGAATGACTTTGACTTCAATAGATCATTCTCTTGACCAAATTAAGCAAGCTAACATGCTGTATACGGTCTATATCTGTCATTCAAATATGTACAAATTTAATTCTGCGCCTTTTAGTTTGTCATGAGAATGAAAACACAGTTAGTGTGAGGGAAACCACGATTCCAGAACAGAACAAAATAGCAAATTAGTCCTCCAAAATCATGTTTTTATAATATGACATTAATTTGGCATCATTAACGAAAATCGAAAGTTCTGCAACAATAGAAGTTACTACACAAACAGACAGTTAGTTAATTTCTTGAGTCTGTTGAACTATGGTAGTTAGCGGTGCGTTAAATGCACCCCTAATGAGAATCAAAATTTTGATTAGAACTTACAAAGCTGCTAAAAAATAACACCAGACCATCTATCTGATTGCTGTGATTAGTAAATTATTCTATTTCTTTTACTAGTTCAGTGCTTGACAGGAAGGTATATGAAATAAAGGGGGGTTGAGAGTCCACGCTGTTACAGCTCAATGTACTGCTTATAGCCTTGACCAACTAATGAGGACATTGACACAAGATCAGTCTGTCTATAAAGTCAAAATTAACTGTGTTCACAAACCATTTTGTGTTTTTATATCAGTTTAGCATTTGTTAACACTATCGGGTAGGTTTGGGTTGGGTTTGGGGTAGGGCATATTTCCAACATGATAGAGCATTAACTTTTAGCGACAGTCCCCAGATATTTGAATTCTGAACCGCCGCAATATGTACCTGAAGCAACGTAATAAAAACACAGCAATACGTACCTATATCAACGTAATAAAAACGTGCCAGGGTTCACGTATTGAACCCATGTTTTAGCGCCACTCAGTGGACATTTCTCTTTGAGACTGCGGCGAAACGTGCAGTAAGGTGCGTAAAAACGGTGTTGCAGAAAAGTACCCAGAGATACGTATTTTTATGAGACCAGGTTGGATTTTCCTGTGGTGTGGGGTGTGTTTAACAATGATTGAATCTGCTCAAAATTGTAAATATCCAACAGGTTGAATATTTACGTTCAGAAATCCTGTTGTGTGGGGGGATTCCTGAGGACAAACGTGCACACACTCTGTAGATTGTCATGTGGAACGGAATGGAACGATTTCCAATCAGAAAGTTAGTTGACGGAAGACGGAAGTTTTACTCGCCTCCAGCCCGCTCTGTAAATGTAAAGTCCACATTCATGCCATCTTCACGACTTCATCCAAACCTATTTCTGTTTTTCCACGAATTTCCGGTAAAAAAAGAAATCCAATAATACTATTGTCACCATTTCTTCTTGCCCGCCATCCGCCATTTGTTCACTCTAAAGTCACGTTTGACTCTAAAGTCACAGTTGGTACTCTGATTGTTTTAAAAATCTTTTAGTGTGGGTCAGCATTTAGTCAACCTTAGTCAACTTGGCTTAATAAGGGAGTCCACATGATAAAGGCCTGGACTATTTTAAAAGTCTTTTTATGTGTTTGCATCAAAACCACCCACCCTCTGTGCTGATCTTCTCTCACTGTGTGTATATATGTGTTTTATGGCTATAAACTGATTCATCTCAACCTGTGGCCACCCATGTTTGTTTGCACAGCCCCCTCAAAGGACCCAATTGGTACAGCACAGATGCTAGAACTGGGCTGCAGTCGTTTCAATCCTTTAACACAGCCATGAATATTCCCCTTCCAATCATCTTTATAAAAATGCTCAATTGCGAGCTTTTCAGTTCTAAAAATCTAAAAATAACCCACCATCTTTCTTCTCCCCTTCCTTTAACAGTGCGGCAAAGCAGCGGAGAACTTCGACAAATTCTTCACCCGCACGCAGCCCATGCTGACCCCTCCAGACCAACTGGTCATCGCCAACATCGACCAGAGCGAATTCGCTGGATTCTCTTACATAAACCCAGAGTTCATCCACCCATCGTCGCTTCACAGTGTGGTATGAGACAGCCCGATGAAGAAGAGGACCGCCCGTCCTGCTCAAACTAACAACCACATCCCTGTTATTTATGAGCTCACCAAATCTTTGTAGACAGTTGAATACCCTTTATCTGAACTGAGGAGGGCTGGAGAAGGGGGTTTGATGGCTGAATGGAAATAATATTCTAAAGCATGTGTCCACATTCAGACTTTGTTGCCAGTTTTTAATGGAGCTGGTGTAAGATCTGTTCCATAGACTGATGAGCATTTTAAGGCACCACAGACTCGTTCCTGACAAATTATGCTTTTATGAGGTTCCATCTCAGTTAGGATGCTGCTTGTGTAGGCAGTAGACAGAAAGGCAGCTCTCTAGGCTTTGAAACAGAGTGATAATGTCCTCATAGTAATGACAGTTCATCGATTGCCTGTATGCAGATAGATGTTATGTGCAGGTTCAGTATATTTGACAGAACACAGAAGGTGGAGATATTGAACGATCCCTTTTTCCAGTCCTCAGATTCTTTGTGTGTGAAGCATGCTGACATGAAACAGGTTTTTGTGTCCTATTCCTTTTATCCTCTACTGCCATTTCTACTGTTCCTGAATTATATATTTGTAAATCTAAAAAAAATATCTTGTTATAGGAGTGCCAAAATATTACTGCATCAAAAGGTTTTTTATATCCAGTTCTATATATGCATATTGATTTCCTACTAGATCTCTTGGTGGTGTCCCTTATCTTGGGCTGAAACTTGAACCCTTATTGCTCCTCGAGTTTTAGCATGACAACTTCCAATCCCGTCACTGCCTGCTCGCCTGGTCTTGACATATTCAACATATACACAACTTTTCATCTCGCTCTAAATGTATGAATTGTGATTCTGAGTGATTCCTCGTTGCAAATACGCAGGCCTTACACACCCGCAGAATCCTGCAGATCACCTGTCCTATACTCATCCGCTTGCATGTTTGTTTTTATTAAATACTTTGGATAATCTAATAACACTGTTTCATTGAACATATTTTACCTTGTTTAAATCCATCCTGCAGATTTGTGTTTTTCATGTTCAGCACAAAAAAGTCTGCGGATTCTGCCTGGGCCTGATAATAAGTATCCAGTGCAACATTTCAAACCAGACTGAGTCACTTCTGTTAGAAATGGATATATGGTTTTGGGTTTAAAACCTGCATATTATGCTAAAGAAATCTACCACTGCTACAACATAAAGAATATGTAACGAGACAAAAAAAGATGCTGTACTTTAAACTGTAGGGGGTGAGTCTCCGAAACCTGTCAAAACCTTGTCTAGGACATATTTCCCCCCAGAAAATCTTTGCTTAAAGAAAAAAGAATCCTGTTTTAAAACCATTAAGATGTTTATTATATATATATACATTTTTTTTTTTTTTGCATTGTGACATTTTCATGACTGTTAAGCACCTTTACCCTAAAAGCTAAATAAATAAATTAAAAATTAAACCCTTACTTTAATGTGAAAAAAATGTGAAATGAAGATGTACTATTTAATGTACATTAAGTATTTATAAATCATGGTAGTGTTTGTTGTTTATGCTGCTTATTACTGTAATGATTTGACAATAATGAGAATCTAATGAAAATCACTGCTGGAAACAAAGAGAATTACAGAAAAAATAAAAACATTAATGCAATTAAAATGTGCATAACTGACATAAAAATTATGCCACAATGCAAAAACTCCTAATGGTCTTCATATACACTTTCTTTTCATATGAATCATTACAGGTTTTTTTTTTTATTATGTTGGAGGGGGGTGGGAGGTCAGTCGTGTATAACTTCTAATATAACCCTGTCTCTGGTAGTGTTTCTGTCCTTTGGTGATCAATACTCTTCATGTTAAACTACATGTTCTTATCAAAGGGAACTTTCCAGTATATATCGGATATTTTTGTCTTTTTAGGTCTTAGTTTGTGATCATCTTGCATTTTTGCTCTGTGAGTATTTTTACGTAGAGCGCTATGTTTACTGTTACACTAAAGGTACACTACAGTATATATACCAAGATTTTTGTAAATACAGAGAAGGCGTACTGTACATTATCCTGCAGATTTTATACTAAGAACTGAATGTGCTTTTAACTTTTTAACTTAGATGGTTTCTATGTTTAGATGATCCAAAAAGACTAGTTTGGCTAATCTGAGATAGCTTTGGTATCTGCAAACCTTTGTTATATGTAATTCTTGTATTTATCCGCTATGTTTTCTATGCTGATAGTATATAAGTGTAGGAGCTGTATGTAGACTGACTGGGCTCTGTGCTCCTACATACTCTATGTGTGTTTGTATACTGCAGCTGCTGTGTGCATGTGGGGCAAATCGGCGCATGCAAAACGTGTTGCATGATTCCAGGAATCCGGAGTCCTCTAGCATGGAATGACTGTCACACCGAGTACCATATCCGTCCCACCTCAACTCTCTTCCTTTGTGTTGTTGCTTTTGTTCCTGTTTAGTTTCAATCGGTGGATAAAGATTTAGACCACTGCTGTGCAACTCCATCTGAATTATCTGTATGACAACAGGGTAAAGATGGGAAAGTCAATTTTACCATAAGTCTGACTTCAATTTATGTATTCTAGTAAAAAAAAAAAAAAGCACCTCAGAAATGCTGTATTTACACATTAGATCGCTCGGTTTGGGCTCTAGTCTTGTGCCAAGCACTTGGTGGAATACTGTAGTTATCAGGTTCACCATTGTTGAATTTCACCACTGATTCATCAGTATGAGCACATTTTTTGGAGCTATAATTTTTCAGTATGTATTTTAGAAATTTCATAGAAGTCCCTGTGTGTGGAAGAAAAAAAAACAAGTAGATATTCCAGGTGTTTATTTCTTCATCCCAAGAAGTAAATGGATACTTGATGATACGAGTGGAAACAGAGCCGGTCCTCTTATGAAGTGATTCAGACAGTATTCAAGCGGTTGTCTTGCAGGATGCAGGTAAACACAAGTGTCTCACATTGAGAGTATTTGGGAATGTAACGTTCATGTGTTTGATTGGGGTTTCTCTGCATGTGAGGTGGCATTCCAACTTTCCCTGGGCATATGAAGTATATGAACATTCCACCCAGCCATTTCTTATTAGAGATTCTATCAGGAATTATAAATATATATTTATTATTATTATGATGAAATTATGGATTCCAGGACAGTTTGAATAAGTTAAGTCACTCATCTTTGTTTTTCTTTACAAAAGTTTGTCCCTCTGTTCTTTGTGAAGGATAATGTGTATAAATAAATGTATGACAAAAGTGGTTATGTCCATGTTTTAGTTCTTCAAGATGATGGAGTGACCGGATTTTTTTGAGCACATTCTTCATTCAGCATCAGTGGCCATAAACAAACTCTAGTAAATGTGATCTAACACAGGACACATTTGTAAGCAGTTAAAGAGTTATTGAGTTCATTTATTTTCCAACTGAATATGGTTTAGTTCAGACATTAAACGAATCAAAAATCATTTCAAATTTTATTTACATAGCACATATAAAAACAACAGTAGTTGAATATTGTGCTGTGCAAAAATGTAAAAGTCAACCAAAACAAACTAAGGCAGTGTCCGAAAATCACATATTCTCTTGGGTAGGCACTTCCCAGCCAACATTTGTATGTGGGGCCCATATGGGTATGAACTGGGCTGAAAAATGGGCCCCATATAGGATTGTCCGCAGGTTCCATAATGGCCCCATGTGTATGAACTGGGCTGAAAAATGGGCCCCATATAGGATTGTCCGCGGGTTCCATAATGGCCCCATGTCAATTGCCCACATGGATTTCATATAGGATTGCACTTGTCACAAGGTGGGACCCAACTGGGCAACATTCACAAGACCCATCTCGGTCCCAGCTTTAACCCAGCTAACATTAAATTGTGGGGCCCATGTGGGTTTGAAATGGGCTGAAAAATGGGCTCTATATGGGATTGTCCGTGGGTTCCATAATGGCCCCATGTCAATTGCCCACATGGATTTCATATAGAATTGCACTTGTCACAAGGTGGGACACAACTGGGCAACATTCACAAGACCCATCTCGGTCCCAGCTTTATTTTGAGTATGTAATTACTTCGCGACTGCAAAAAGAGAATGTGTGTAGTATGAATGTAAATTACATTACATTATGTAATCCGGATGTAGCCTACTACAATGTAGTCAATGTAGACAATGTAGTCATTGTCATGTGACTTACCAGCGTGAGTTGCACCACATCACAGATATTCATAAATCCTCTACCGTGGCCTCATGGGATAGTAAAGTGTCCATCGTATGCACACTTCAGAATCTCGCAAGAAGTAGTAGGCCATCCGGGTACTTCTTGCCTACACTTGTGTGAGTGTGGATTCGGACATAAATCTTTTTTCACATACTCTTTTTCACCTACTATATAGTAGCTATTGAAGTATCTGAATTCAGATGCAGACAAAGTTCTCCGTAATCCACACACTTCCCACAGTACGAGACGAGCAAGGATGGGAATCAAAGAATTTAACCATTCAGAATCCGGTTCTGATTCCTCCTAATGATTCCTGTTACTTAAGGGTTCCATTAACAGTTACTTTAATTTTTTAAGGAATAAATATTTAGAAAATTGAAACATGAGGCCATATTATAAGAATGATAAGAACAATTTTTGCAAAAGGTCTGTTAGCAGACTTATTAATTACTTTTTTTTTTTTTTTTGAATGACTTTGTCAATGTGGCATACATGTATTTCATAATTGGCTATAAAACAGCAATACTAGACAAAAAAAATTTGGTAACTTATTTAATGAATTTTTACAAAATATTTCTGACAAAATGAAAGTTAACACTCAAGCAGTTATCTTTATGAGTCCATCATGCTTTTCAATAATGTTAGATGTAGAGCACAAGGAGTCTTTTAGTCCAGGAAAAGGGCTAAAACCGGATTTTGAAACAGTACAGCACAGCCCATAGAATGTAATTTCTGACCAAATAAGGATTTTACTATGATAAATCAAAAGGTCAAAATGTAACCTCTCCCCAGAAGTACTTTAAAGCCAGTACAGTATAGGCTACTGTATGTATATTTCAGTACACCCTTAGAGAAAAAGATGAAGATGTCTCTTTGAAAAGATTTCTGTAGAGCACTGCTGCACTAGAGTGAACCCATAACAAGAATGATTTGTTGTGAGGCTCCATTTGTGATCTTCTTGAGGCTGGATGTATTGTTTGCATTACATTAAATAAATAAATAAAAGCTGTAGCTATAGCAACTGATAAAAATAAACTACAGTATATTACAATAGGCTATCTATAGCTACATTATTAATATAATTATGGTTATTATTATATTGTTCATTTTATTGGCTATTCCTACACTCTTCCCCTTTTCCCTTCCCTTTTCAATCCATTTTTTTTTTTAAAGAAAATAGCAGAAATAGGTATTTTGAGTTATATTAAGTGCACACACATTCGGTAATGAAGAGTGGATCTTTTCTAAGAAAGTGTCTGTCATTTAGGCTAATTAAGGTAATACATAGCCTATTTGTTGCATATTGTTCTGTATGAAAAAAAAAAAAAAAAAAAGACTGAATGCATGCCAGTCAGTTGTAACGAGTTTAAGCATCTTTACATGAAACTTGCTTTATTTCAAAACCAAGTAGGTACTGAACTTGAGTTCAATAAGATTTATTCGATCAAGCAACTCTTTGGGAGTCATCATGAATGATTCATTTAAAGACCTAGTTCATAAGAGTTAGCCTATTTGTTTGTGAATTGCATTGCACTGAATGCCTTATTTTTGATTCTCCAAAAAGACCCAGCTCATAAGGGTGCTTTCACACCTGGCCTGTTGTTGGGTAATTATGTAAGTTCCGTGAAAAGCATTAGCTTTGTTGTTTTGCTAATACTTCAGAATGAACCATGTGAATGTCTGTGGGTGAGCACTACACATGTGCCGCACAACCACACTGCATGCTTGCTTTCATGTAAACTCTAATAATATTTGTTCTAGATGCAGGCTCGGATATAATGCAGGTCAAAGACACACACACACACACACACACACACGTACTACACGCTCGCTAGCTCGTGTTCATTCTCGTGGTCAGGCTGCGCTGCGAGGAGCTCTTCACTCCACAGCTGGATTACACTCACATTTACTCTCATCAACAGCATCCTTCAGGTAATTTCTCATCTTTTCGATGCAGATGAAGCAATATGAAGCTGCTGTCGTCATTTACGCATGTCAACACAGATGCACGTGTCTTAAATGTACTGATGATTTCATATGCTGAAGTGAGAAATACACATTGCATTTAATATTTTAAAACGTGTTTATTTGTGCTTTAAATATGGTTGTATGGCTGATATTGTGTACATGTGTTAAAGTGTTCAAATGTGTTTTAAATTGCTTTATAATAATGAGAACGCAGCTGTGTGCGGCACATAATGTCCATTACTCAAGTCATTTTGCTGCAACGTGTAGAGAGTAAAGAGAAACATTTTATTTACGGTGATGACACCAAAAAGCGGTGAAAATTCAAAAACATTATAAAGATAAAAACTGTCTCAAAACCTAGTGAGCTGACTAACTAGGCTGATGATCGTAGTGTGATGCTGCTGATTTGAAGTTCTCCTGCTTTGCGTCCTTGCAAAAATGCACCATGGTTACCATAGTTTTAGCTTTATTATCATGGTTACTACAGTTATTGCAAAAAAATAAAAAAATAAAAAAATAATAATAATAATAATAATTGGTATCCATCACTGATTTCTGTGAAGTTTTCTTACACTGTACACTACTAATTTTACTGTTACTAATAATAACTGTGGGAACATTGGTATGGAAAATAATAATATAACAATTATTTATTAACAATAATGATTAATTTGTTCTTTTTTTAAACCTGTCTGCATTGGTATTGGTCATAAGCAAACACACATTAATAATAAGAAACCCAAAATTTCTAAGTTTTGAGAGAAACCCATGTTCAAGTCAAGTCAAATTTATTTCTATAGCCTATCACTTTATACAATACAGACTGTTTCAAAGCAGCTTCACACTAATAGGAAAATAGCATTGCTAATGTTGCAAAATTCTTCAGTTATGAGACTAATTTCAGCTGTAAAGCAGCTCTTCAGAAGTGTCATTATTCTGCTCAAATTTCAGTTTTGATTAAGTTTATTTTCAATAACTGTGTTGATGTTGCAGAGTTCATCAGTGAAACAAACTCAATTGCACTATAAAGCAGCTCTACAGAAGACTAACGTGTTGCTAAGTGAGGGACAGAGTTCTTAATAAACTTTTAAGTGAAGAGTTGTACGTGTGCCATATAAGACAGTAAACACAATTGCGGGTTTGTGGGGATTAGTTTTTATTAATCGGCTTTGTTGTAGACTAAACTGGTTGAAAATGCACATAATCTCTGTACATCTGTGTACATCTGTACATGAATGTGTCCATCTGTAAACAGGTCCATCATCACAGCAGCAATGGATGCTCTGACATTCTGAGTGACAGGTAATACTGCATTTCATATGGGAGATTCATATATGACAGATATTGGGATAATTGAACGACATGTCACCTTAATATCAGTTTTGCAATGCCACATGCCAAGCAGCCTGATCTAAACTTGAGAATCTTCAGTTTCATTTTGCATTGTGCATCAGACAGTGTCTCACACATATCACATGCTCAGCAGCTGCAGCTGTGCTCAGATGGCACATGTACAGATGTGAAAATGCATGTGTGTTTTTGTCCAGAATCTATTGAACGCCGATTTGCTCTCTCCGTCTTGTGTGGATTTTCAGTGAATGTGCTGCTTGTCAATCTCACATTGTGAGCTGTATTGTTGGTATTCCAACTGCATCTGTGTGCTTCCGAAAACACTTGGTTCCATGAGGATGTTGATTCTCATCTCGCCATGATTCATTATGTGTCAGATTTGCTACAGATGGAAATTGACGCCCTCCTGATTTATAGTCAGCAAGCAGATCTTCATAAATTGACAGCGCTATGTCTTCGTTTCCCTCAGATTATCTGTGTGGTGAGCGCCCCCTGCTGAAGGCTGAGTGGCATGAGCGCGTGCGGGAGGAAGGCCCTGACCCTGCTCAGCAGTGTGTTTGCGGTATGCAGTCTGGGGCTGCTGGGTATCGCCGTCAGCACTGACTACTGGCTCTACCTGGAGGAGGGCGTCATCCTGCCTCTCAACCAGAGCGCTGACATACGCATGTCCATCCACTCCGGCCTCTGGAGAGTCTGTTTTCTGGCAGGTAAGTAAATGGCTGATTCTACTTTTGGAGGACTTTACCTCAAGTTACATTTACAGCTATTCATTTAGCAGAATCTGTGACTTGCCTGGACTACTGCATATATGCATAACATTACAGCTTGAAAAGGTTTATTTATTTTTTTTTTTAAGTAATGCACATCTCTATTAAAGCTTGTTCCACAACTGAATAAAACGAAAAAGGTAATTGCAACTTTTTATCTCACAGTTCTTTTTTTCTTACAATTCTGACTTTTTTCCCCTGAATTCTGATATAAACTCACAATTCTGACTTTTCCCTCCTGAATTCTGTGATATGAACTCACAATTCTGACTTTTTCCCCCTGAATTCTGTGATATGAACTCACAATTCTGACTTTTTTCCCCCTGAATTCTACATGAACTCACAATTCTGACTTTTTTCCATGAATTCTGTGATATAAACTGCCGCTGTGCTCAGATGGCACATGTACAGATGTGAAAATGCATGTGCGTTTTTGTCCAGAATCTATTGAACACCGATTTGCTCTCTCCTTCTTGTGTGGATTTTCAGTGCTGCTTGTCAATCTCACATTGTGAGCTGTATTGTTGGTATTCCAACTGCATCTGTGTGCTTCCGAAAACACTTGGTTCCATGAGGATGTTGATTTACAGCTATTCATTTAGCAGAATCTGTGACTTGCTTGGAATACTGCATATATGCATAACATTACAGCTTGAAAAGTTTTTATTTTTATTTTATTTTTTAAGTAATGCACATCTCTATTAAAACTTGTTCCACAACTGAATAAAAAGAAAAAGGTAATTGCAACTTTTTATCTCACAGTTCTTTTTTTCTTACAATTCTGACTTTTTCCCCTGAATTCTGATATAAACTCACAATTCGGATTTTTTCCCCCTGAATTCTGTGATATGAACTCACAATTCTGACTTTTTCCCCCCTGAATTCTGATATAAACTCACAATTCTGACTTTTTTCCCCCTGAATTCTGTGATATGAACTCACAATTCTGACTTTTT